TGCCATCATTCATTCAGTGTCTGCCCCCTGTCAGCTTATCCGGATGCCCATGCATAAGACGGTGCCCTGGCTGCGCCCCTCCCTGCCTGAACCCCCGTTACTTCCCCCACCATGTGGGCTCCCCGCCTCTCCTGCCCCAGGCCCGCAGTAGGCCAGGGCTCAGTGGGGTTGGTGAGGTGAGGTTTGGGAGGGAGGCAGGCAGAACAGGCTCGTTTCCTGCGTGTGTGTGTGTGTGGGGGGGTGAGTGGAGGCCGGGAGGGCCAGGGACTAGCAGGTGAGGCTGGTGCAGGCCTGGAGGCTGCCCACTGCGGCAGGGGACATGCCGGCCCAGCCCCTGCCCCAGCCCCAGCCTAGGTCATGGGAAAGTGTGGCTGAAATGTCCCTCTACACAGCAGGTGAGAAGGCCCATGACCCTAGTGGCTCCAGCCAGCGCTGGGCAGCCCGTGACGCAGAAACAAGTCAGTGCCTTGTTCCTGAGGACCCTGTTGGGACCCCCTCGGGTGGCTTGGGGGGGCCTCCAGGGCAGTAACTCAGGATCTCCCTGAGGTGGGGGCCGACTGCTCCCCCTGTCCCTTTCCATGGTTGTCCCAGAGACAAGTGAACGCACGCCAGGCCGGCCTCTGCACGGCTGCCTCCAGCCACCGCTGACACCCTGGCTGGGCAGCTCCCACCTGTCAGGACTGCAGAGGGGGACCAGCCACCCAGCACCCGCAGGCGCTGTGGAGACACGCGGCAAGACGTGCGGTGGCCGAAGGGCATCTGACGGGCGAATCCCTGCCCCAACCTCAAAGTCGGGTGAGGTGAGGTTAGAGATTGCAGCTCCATCTAGGGCATCACCGAGGCCTTCACTCATCCCATCAGGGTTTGCAGAGCCCTCTACGTGCTCGCCTCTGTCCTGGGCCTGGGGACACATCAGTAGCAAAGCAGACAGGCCCCCCACCCCCTGCACATGTTCCACGGGGGGCAAGCCATGAGTGACGCCTCACAAAGGGCCGACACGTGTCCTGTGTGTGGAAGGTGACAGGTAGAGAAGAAAAGTGGAGACGGGGTCAGAGTGTGCAGGGACGGAGGGGCTGGCGGGCCTGATGGAGAAGGCCACCACTGAGCAGAGGGCGCCGAGGAGGACCTGGAGGAGAGGTGGTCAGCTGAGCGGGCGGGAAGAGGAGTGGGGGCGGGGCGCAGCTCTGCAGGTGGGACATAAACCATGACAGACAGTGGGCCCCAGGGAGCTCGGGGTAGAATCCTCGTTTCCTGGGGAGCCAGCACTGGACGTGTCTGAGATGCTGATTAAAAGGGGACGTTGGCCGAAGGGCTGGAGGACAGGCCTATGGGAGGGGGCTGGGCGGGCAGCGAAGGGCCACAGATGCTCCACTGAGTCGGTCAGGGCACAGCAAGGAGAGGCCACATCTGCTGGGGCTCGAGGCTCCGTTTCTGGAACTCCAGGGAGGTCCCCCAAGGCTGGCCAGGCACCACCGTGGTGGGGTCCAGAGGGCTCAGCCTAAAATTGGGGAGAAATGCTTTTCACAGTGGCAAGGGGAGGACCAACTGTCCCTTGTCACCAACTGTGTCCCGGGAACTTCCTGGCAATGCCTGCCTCGTTCAGGCCTTGTGACAACACTGGGGGCACCTGGGGAGGTGGTATGCCTGCCACACGCCCGGGCAGCGAGCACGGCCTGCTGCCTGTCAGCCCCTGCAGGGTAGCCCTGGGCACCACCCAACAGGACCTGGGCAGCCGGTGTGCAGAGCAGCTTCGCACAGGGCGCTGGAGACAGCCTGCTTTCTCCTCTCACTCATTCCACCCCCAGTGCTATCAGAACACCCTCAGGTGCCAGGTTCGATGCCAGGTGCTGGGAGTCCAGCCATGAACCCTCGTGGAAGACAGTTAAAACCTGCTCCTGGGAGCTGGCCGAGTGGCGCNCTGCTTCAGGGGAAGGTGGCCTGCTGTGGCCGTCAGGACACCACCTGTCACACTCACTGTGGACCCCTGGGACACCGGGAACAGACTTCCTGCAGGTCTTGGAAAACCACCATCCTAGAGGGCAAGTCACCTGGGGGTGCTGGGCCCATGTACTGGCCACAGGAGTCGGGGTGCCTCCAGGAAACCCTGGGCAGCCTTAACAATGTGGTCCTGGCAGGTGGCTCCCAGGTGCTCCTGTTAAGAAAACTTTTTCTTTTTTTTTAGATTTTTTAATTGGGAAATTGGGGGAGGGGAACAGAATTGGGGAAAGAGATCAGCCAAGTTGTTGTTCTTCAATTTTAGTTGTAGAAGGTGCAGCTAGCTCAGCTCAAGGTGCTATGTTCAATTAGTTGCGAGTGGGCGTAGCTACCAACCTGTGCGGGAGTCGAACCAACAGCCTCGTTGTAACGAGTGTGTGCTCTATCCTCTGAGCCATCTGGGCGGCAGCTCAGCTCAAGGTGCCGAGTTCAGTCTTAGTTGTGAGCGGGCATAGCCCACCATTGAACAGGCAGTCTTGTTGTTAAGAGCATGTGGTCTCACCAGCTGAGCCATCCTGCCACCTGTTGGCAGCTCAGCTCGGATGCAGCTCAATGGCCCATGTGGGAATCGAACCAGCGACCCTGTTGCTCAGAGCTCACACTCTTGAGCAAGCTCTTAACCAACTGAGCCACTCAGCCAGCCTGAGAAAACTTTCTGGTGTGTGGTCCATGGCCACAGAATCCAAAACAGGAGTCCCTCGCCCTTTATGGTAATCACATGGCAGTCAGCTCCCCTGTGCATTTTCAGGGACACAGGCCAGCACTTTCTGGCCAGGGATTGTGACAAGCAAGGGGGTGGAATTCCACCCCAAGCCCAGAAGCCGTAACACATGGATCCAGCTAACTCACTGGAAAAGCAGGGTGTAGATTGTGTGAGAAATGTGCATATGGGGTGTCTGTGCCTAGGAGAGCCACTCCTCAGGGGTCCTGCCCACAGGCAGTCTCAGCCCGGTCACAGCGGTGTCCTCTTCCACTGTTGGGTCACAGGGTTCCTCTGCAGTGGCCGCTAACCCATGTCTCATGGTCAAGTTTCACGGCTTTGATTCACGGCAACTTTGCTGGGTTCTCAGAGGGGCGATGGTGATGCCCCCACCCTCAAGCACTGTAACTGCTGACCAGGCAGCCCTACGGTTGCCCCTTCTCTCCCTGACTCTGTCCCACCCCTGGGGACACCCAGGTGGGCTGGGAGGTGTTTGTGAATGTGGCAGCAACCTGGGGACAGGACTGGACTGAGCTGAGAGGCAGGAGCGCTGGGCTCCTCTGGACGCAACGTCTGTCCCCCTCTGAAGAGGGGCCGCTGCAGTACCTCGTCCCATCCTCCTCCCTGTGCTCTGCTCAGGACACAGCCCTCCCGGCTCCAGCCAGGGCGAAGCATGGGAAGGGCTCTCCTGCCCTCTGGCGGCCACGTGGCTGCGGGCGGACGCTGCTCGGGGTCGCGTAAGAGCGAGCGCTTTCTTCAAACCGCACACCCAGTCGGTAAGTCCTGACCCTGGGAGAGGCTGTCGTGCAGAGGGAGCTAGTTCCAGTTATGTGTATAAAGATTCCGTTTTCTTCTAACGAAAGACGCATAAAAGCTCTCCCGGTCTCTCCTGTAAGGACCATAATCCAGGCGTCCATCAGCAGAGGCGGCGAGGAGGGCAGGAGAGTGGGGGGTGGGCAGGGGAGGCACCTCTCCCTTGGGTGACGAACCGGGCCGCTGGCGACCCGCGTGGCTCGCCTGNTCGAAAAAGAGGCACTTCGAGCAACTTTAAATGGGATATTTCTAAAACTGCATCTGAATCATCGTTTACAAATGTTCAGTAACTTCTTCTGACCGTAGATTTCCCTGGGCCATGCAAACCGGGTGATGCGCCGGCCTCTGGGATAAAGGCGACTTGCATAAATGCTGAGAACCAAGAAATGCCTCACTACAGCAATTTTCCCACCACGTCCTGCAGGCGGGCTGGGCACCAGCACAGGCCACACCCACGGCCTGCACTTCTCAGCTGACCATCGCTCCCTGCTCCCCAGGAGACCTGGAGGTGACAGAGGGCCACGCCTGGGGCACACCCGCTATACCCCCCCCCAAAAAAATAAGGGAGAAAGGAGAAGAGAATGGGGTTTTAAAAATGATGAAACTATCATGTTCCAGCTTATAGTGATAAATGTTAAAAGCTAGAGTAAATGGATTTAAATGGTTTTCTTGGAAAATATGAAGTATAAATTTACTCATATGTGGGCTATAAAACAGAAAGCAACAAACAAACAAAACAAACAAACTAACAAACCTCATAGACACACACAACAGAATGGTGGTGACCAGAGGGGATGGGGGGGGATGAGGAGAGTGAAGGGGGTCATGTCCATGGTGACAGGACACTGGGCTCTGGGTGGTGAGCACACAGTGGAAAACGCAGATGATGCATTAAGGAACTGTACATTTGAAACTTATTATAACGTTAGTGACCAGTGTCACCCAATAAATTTAATTTAAAAAATTGACTCAAGTAGAAATAGGAAATCTGATTAGTGCAATGGCGGGAAGGGGCACAGAAAAAAAAGTAAAAGTGGCCAAAGGTTTATCCTTAAAAAGGCGCCGAGCATAGGCAGTTAGTTCCATGTGTGTTTCCACCACCTGTAAGGGACGATCTGTGTGCCAGGGAGAGACAGGCCTGTGACTGGCAACAGGGACCCTGGAGACCAGTGCTGGGCTCAGAGCCCACGCCGCCTCTCACCCACAGGTGATCTTGGGCAGGCTCTGTCAGCCCCCCGTGCCTGTCTCCTCATCGGTCAAGTGGATGCGAACGCAGTCCATAATTCACAGGGTTGACCTGACGGTGAAGACTTAACTCGTGTAAAAGATACAGAACTGTGCCCACTGCGCAGTACGAAGTGGGTACAGCTGGCTAGTCATGAAGAGTTGCTATTATTCCCAAGCCTAGAAAAAGACAGAAGGGTCACAATTCATTCTATCCAGCGAGTCAAAAACCTGCAAAACCGGGATGGGGTGACACAGACACCCGCAGATGATTTATAAGAGAGACATAGTCACTCTGACAGATGCGCTGACAAGCAGCCCAGTGTACCAGGCGCTACAGGAGTTCCACTCAGGAATGCAGGGTGAGTCACCGCTGCAAAGTCTGGTAGCACAACTTGCTGCATTGAGATGAGAAGGAGGAAAATCCCCCATCAGCTCAAAGACAAGCCAGTCCCCAGAAAGCATCTGGTAAACGGAATGCTTATTACTGAGGAGCACCCACAGCGCAGGGCCTTCAGGAAGCTGAGAACGGTGGGAAAATTCCTCAGCCTCTGACAAACATCGCACTTACTACATGAGAACAGGGGTGAGCAAACTTCTGTGAAGGGACAGATAGCAAACGCTTTAGGTTTTTCGAGCCATATGGTCTCTGTCCCAACCACTTAACACCGTTATTATAGCATGAAAACGGCCATTAGATGACATGTAGATGAACGGGCCTGGCTGCCTGCCCATAAAACTTTTTTTATAAAGACTGCCATGGGCAGGACTTGGCCCCCGCCGTGGTTTGCAGAGTCCTGCACTAGAACCATTCACACGATAGGCAGAAACAAGAGAAAGATGACTGATTTTATATTTGAATTCTAGGGAATGCAATGTACAAGAAAATACACGTGAAGTACCAATACTAAAAAGGCAGATAAAAACACAATTATTCACGTAATTATATGACTATTTGCCTAGGACATTGAAAACAATCAGCCAGCAGACTATTAGAATGAAAAGTGGCCAATTTTGAGGTCAACACACAAAAACAATAGCATTTATAAAAACAGCAATATATGATGTTTCATGAGGAAAAGGGTCCCATTTGTGATAGCAATAAAACCCAAGAATAACTGAACAAATAAGTGAATCTGACATAAAAGAAAACCAGAAAACTTCACTGATGTTCTACATAAGCTGAGACAGGCCCACTCCCACGCCAGACCCCACACCCGGTCAGTGTCGGTTTCCTNTTAGGACTCCTGTCGATATCCCCAGTTCCCACCCGCCCCTGCCACTCAGCCTTGGCCCCCCTCCCCACCCCCAGGCACATCGGACCCGTCTCCATGGCAAACACCAGCGGCCAGACAAGGCCCCGCATCCAAGAGACACACAGTGGGGCCTCCTCGACGCGTGTCTGAGCTGCCCCGCCACTTGGGGGTCACAGCCCTGGGGGCTGCTCAGAGAAGCCTGGTTCCTCTGACCCGAGCCAGTGTCATGGCCCCGGGGCACTTGGCTGACACCATGACTCAGAACGTGGCAGGCAGCTCGGGCAGCACCGGATGGTCCTGGCTGTGCTAACAGCTGCCAGCGCCAGCGAGGGCCGGAGAGGGTGGGCTGAGCCTACCCTTGGTGCTCCGGCAGCATTGTCTCTGGAGCACCCCACAGGTGGAAGGGGTTCAGGGCACCCTCTCACCAACCACAGGACTCAGCTGCCCACGGCCACAGGCCCTGCTCCTGGGCTCCTGGTCGTGTAGGCGAGGTGGCCCCACGCCCCTGAAGGTCAGCACTGTCCGGGCTTTGCGGTCGGCTGCCTCATGGGCAACCCCAGGAAGCCCAGGACTCTGGTTTTGTCCAAGCTCCCAGGTGACAGTGAGCAGTCACACTGGGGACCTGCTGGCCTGGTCCCTCCCCCGGTGACAGGAAACTGAGCCCGCCCAAAGCTGCACAGTCGTGAAAGGCAGAATCGGTGCCACCCCAGCCCTTGCCTCCTAGGCATGGCTCCTGGCCAGAGCCGAGCCCTCAGGACCCAGAGGTTATCATTCCAGTTGGTCAGCCAGGTTTGGGCCCCGTGTCTACCCTGAGGACACTGAGGTCTCGGAGGCTGGGCATGGGGACCCCAGGGAGACGGGCACAGTGGGTGGGAGGCCAGGGCCCAGGGAGCGTCCCCTACCACCTGTGGGTCCCTGGGACCTGGGGGGAGACGCCTCTCCCAGGTTGCCATGGGGACTGAAGGAGACAGCTCAGGTCAGATAAGCTTGGTGGGAGCAGTTGGCATGTGCCCCCTGCCTGACTTCCTCTCCCACAGGGCAGGAGGGCAGGGCCCCGGGAGCCAGGAGCCGCAGATCTCACTGGACACTCGGGCCGGGGCCACTCCCTTCCTTATTTTTGACAAAATCTACAGAGGACCTGGCGTGTGACACGAGAGAGAGGCCACAGGGAAAGGAACCTACGTGAGGGGACAAAGAGCACCCGTCCCAGCAAAGCAAACACAATGGCAGAGGCGAAGGAGGCCATCAGGTCTGGGATTGGTGAGGCCACAGTTGCCCAGATTTAAAACGTTGAGGTGGCTGCTCACCAAGCCCAGGGCGGCAGGGTGGGTCGTGAGGTCCTGGGGTGGGGACAGCAGAGGGGCCCACAAGGCCCTGGGCCCCACCCCCCGTGCAGCTCCCTGTGCAGTTTGCTTTGTTTTGGGGTGAGAAGTGCTATTGGGTTTACTTGTGCGGGGCTGACCCATAGAGAAGGGAGTCTGGGACGGTCGTGGGTGCGGGTGACACAGGGACAGTGCTCGGTGAGACTCCCCAGGGCATCAGCTGCCTGGTGGGGGCGTCCGGGGCGGGGCTGGTGGTGCTCCCTCGGAGGAAAGAAGGCTTTGAGGATGAGGGTGAATCTGGGCTGAGGACGGAGGCTGTAGGAGGGGCAGATGTTTGGGGCCCGTCCCACGGGGCAGGGGCAGGTTCCATGCCTGGGGGGTGAATTCTGGGACAGAGAGGTTCCCAGGACCCTGACACCCTTTCACCACGCCCCAGCATCCGCTAACCGTCGAAGGAATTTTTCTGATGTTCTCATGACCTGGGCTTTCCCAGTTTGGTGAGATTAAGATAGAAAGCTGTGGTTTGCAGTAAGCTGTCCACTCAGACGACGGACATTCCATCCTGCCCTGTGACGGGATCACACACGCCCGCAGGGGTTTGCATGGACCGGCCAGCTCTGGGAAACCTCTCCCAGACCCGGGCCTGCACCATTTGGGGACCAGCTGGGGGTTGGGTGATGACCGTGCAAGTATAGNGTTCTGGTGGGTGTGGTGGTGTCCCGTTGGTTGTACTTGCGTTTTCCTGATGACCTGGGATGGGGAGCATCTTTCATGTGCTCGTTTGTCATCTGTGTGTCTTCTTTGGTGAGGTGTCCGGTAAGGTCTTTTATCTGTTTTTTAATTGGGTTGTTCATTTTCTCATTGTTAAGTTTTAATTATTCTTTGTGTATTTTGGATAACGGTCCTTTATCAGACATATGGTTCGCAAATATTTTTTCCCCAGTCTGTGGCTTGTCTTCTCATTCTCTTGACAGTATCTTTTCCAGGACAGAGGTTTCTAACTTTAATGAAACTAAATGAAGTCCAGGATATCGATCCTCTCATGGATCCTGCCTTTGGTGTTGTACCTAAAGGTCGTCGTCAAACCCAAGGTCATCTAGGTTTTCTCCTATGTTATCGTCTAGGAGTTTTAGAGTTTTGCATTTTACATTTAGGTCCGTGATCCACTTTGAGTTAGTTTCTGTGAAGGGTGTAAGGTCTGTGCCTGGATTCATTTTTTTCATGTGGGTGTCAGTGGTTCCAGCACCATTTGTTGAAGAGACCATGTGGGCTCCATTGTGTTGCCGTTGCTCCTTTGTCAAGGTCAGTTACCGTACTCATGTGGGTCTATTTGTGGGCTGCCTGCTCTGCTCCATTGATCTAGTTCTCTGTTCCTTCAACATACCACACTGACCTGATGGCTGTAGTTTTACAGTAAGTCGTTGTCAGGCAGTGTCAGTCCTCCAGATGTGTTCCCTCCTCCATCCTGTGTTGGCCTCCTAGTAGTTTCTCAGAACTGTCTTGGTTCTTACACACTAACTGTTTCCTACTGTCAGGTTCCATCAGAATCTTTGGGGATTTGAGTACAATTCTTTCTAACACAGGTATCCGTGTGGGGAGAACAGACACTCTCCCAGTTTTGAGTTTCGGGATGTATATCTGAGTCTTCTGCTGTTCTGAACCGCCCCCCACTGAAAGAAACAGCCCACGGAGGGGATCGTGCAGAGCCGTGTTTGGGAAGATGGGGGCCAGTGTTCTAAGCTGACAGGGTGAAGCCCCCAATCTGGGCAGGACCCCCAGGGCTGCATGTTGGTTCAGAACGGCAGGGTCCGTGATTCCGTTCCCACGCTCCACTGGGGTGGTGGGGAAGGTGGGGAACGACGGGGTTGAGACACAGAGGCCAGGTCTCTGAGCCCTCGCTGGGCATGCTCAGATGGCAGTGTGGCCTTGTAACTAAGAGGAGCTGGGTGCAAAAGTCCTGCCGTGCTTTCCAGGGGGGCTTGTGCAGCCGGGAGGAGCACCTCTGGTTGAGCTGGGTTTCCTGTGTCCAAGGATCAATAAGCAGAAGTCACTCTCTCCACAGGCAGAAGCCAGTGTCACAGGAGCCCGTGCCCGTGAGCCGTTCCGAATTCTTTCACTATTTGGCTCTTCTGCTTCTGTCTCGAGTCGACCAATGTTTCTATGGCCGACCGGGCAGCTGATTGACTTCTATTTATTTTGGCCGAAAGGATTTTTCGGGAAATGAGAAGTGGATGGAATTGTTTAGTCTTCCATCATTCTGCTGGCTCTGGGAAAAGCCAGGGTGCCCAGCCCCGATTTGGGGGTCGGCTGGGCTGCCGGGAAGGCAGCTTCTGGTGCTTGGGGATCATCACCTGGACCCGGGGTGGCTCTTTCTCCTCCAAGCACTTAGCCCACTCCACCTCGGCCGGCAGCAGCCACAAAGTCAGCGGTCTGGACAACCTCAGGCACTTCGGGCATCCTGAAGCAAACACATGCCACCCCTGCCTGCCCAGCTGACCCTTGGCACACTGTGCTCTTGTTGTCACTCAGACTGGGACGTCCTCCCTCCTTACTTCTATCTACAGACATACTGAGTGTGTGTGTACAACTGCAGGTGTGTGCAGGTGTGTGTGATGGAGTGTCAGTGTGTGCACACGTGAGTTGTGCAGGTGTGTGTGTGGTTGTGTGTGAGCAGGTGTGCAGGTGTGTATGCATGTGGGTGTGTGCATGTGTGTTCCTGCAGTAAGTCCATCACCCAGGACTGTGCTGGCCATGGGCGTCCCGTCCATCTCTAGCCGGGGGCAG